ATAGGAGCAGGAAGGCTGACGTTGATGAATTGATGAAGGGTCTAGGCCCGAAACGTCAGCCTTCCTGCTCCTATGATGCTGCTTGGCCTGCTGCGTTCATCCAGCTCTACACCTTGTTATCACAGAGGGAAAGAGACAGGTTAAGCGAGTAAGCAAAAACTTGGCAGTTGGAATATAATTGTCATGGAGTCAGCTTTCATGCAAGATCAACTTTTACATGACTATGTTGTAGAGAAAAACTCAAGTACACAAAAGTACGTTTTTGCAGTGATAGCCACAGATGTCTGAAAACAAATGTACAAAATTAAGGTGCAAGATTTATCTTCTGAAGTTGTCAACGGAATGTTACTCCAACAATTTTGATTTTTAATTTTTCCTATGCAATTGTCTACAATTTTGCATTTCATCTAGAAATAACTTATTCTGCAAAGTTCACAGACAATTTAAGTACTAATAGCTGTTGCAAATTCTGGTCAGTTAGACAGGCAGAAGATACGTGCAGAAATCTGAAGTGACCTTGAGTGCAAGGGTTGTTCAAATTCCAGGCTGACAAGAAATACTACCATCTGTGTGAAATGTTGATGATTAACACACATGCTTATTATTGAAGCAAGCATTCTGTAAATCATTTTTTCCTAACTAGTGGCTGGATTTAATGCAGTTAGGCTAGATGCTATAATTTGTAAGCTCAATATTTGCATGCAATACGTGTTTTGTATATTAGTCACTTCACTATGAATTCACTCAAGTCTTCAACCTATTAACCCTTCGAAAGAATTGGGATCTGTGCCTACATGGTGCCTACTCTTCCTGTCATTGGTGTTATTGAACATAGTGTTCAACCCACTTTTCAGGACAAAAAACAGTTTCAAAGCTGGAGAGAAGTTGGGTTTTTACATTGGTAATACTGCAACCCCAAAGTTAACACAAATCTTCCGTGGAAATTAAAGAGGTTGCAGTGTGTGGGCATAGAGTATTTTTAGGCAACTTCAAAATGATTTGACGTGCAAAGTTCAAATTCTATACTGACTTCTGCCAGAAAAAAAGTGAGCAACAGACGCCTACTAACACTGACTGATAGTGTGAAAAGCCTGAGGTTTGCATATACTGCTTTATAACTTTCATCAGTGAGATAGTTGACCACTGACATTTATCTGTTATTAGAATATGCTGTGCTTTCATACCATCATCTTGGCAATAACAGTATGCAGAGAATAATCATCTGGCAAATACTCAACTGAGTTCAAATCAGAAAAAATGAACCATATTCAATTTAAACCAGTCAAAACAGGTCCAAGATTGGATGACACCTTAGAAGTTAGGATTTCATTTTAACCTAGGACAGGAAGGGATCCCTCAGTAGTTTTTCAGCGTGATACCTGGGCTATGATAACTCAAAATAAGATCTACAAATGGTTTGCAGCATTCTTTGTATTCAAGAGGTTATTGAAGATAAGACTCTAAATTTGTAATATCTGCACTAAGGATTGTAAAATGAAAAGCTACACGAAAGAAATTGTAATTTCAAAATATGTAATATCTGTGTTGTCTGGAGCTTAAGATTATGTGGGTGGGAGAGGAATTCGCAGCTCTACTTTGAATACTGTCAATAGCATTTTCTTACATTAACCTGTTTGACAAAGCTTCAGTTTAAAATTCCCTTGAAAGGCAATTGCTCCAAACAATGCACAGAATCACAATCTAACCTAAACTATGTACTCAGGGCCTGAACCTACAACTTCCTCATGTTAACAAGTCTTCAACCAACTGAATTCAGTTAGCACATAACTACATTATTTCTGATGCTTGTCACCAGAACTCTGCATGAGTATACAATTACAGCAGACAGGACAATTAAAAAAAAAAGAAACGAAATAGTTCTGGCAAATGTAAATTTCATTACTGAATAACCCAAATAGGACAAAATTACCTATATACAAGCTGTGCATTTGGAAGGATTTGTTCAAATTTGCTGGTGTTCCGTATTCGAAAGCTAAGCACTGCAGGTGATGGATTGCTGGTAAAAACTTTAATTATTCCACTTGGAAACGACATGGTCATATCACCAGTGATTTTGACTATGCATCTGCAAAAACAGGACAAAATTAAAGCATCACCAGATAACTTGGTAAACAAGCAGCAACAGATGGCTCATTTTTTGCTTTAGAGATTTCTATGCTTTCATTAGCAAATTACTTATGTCAGCACAAGGTATCACTGCAGTTTAGCAGGCAACTTTCCTTTACGATTGGTCGCAAATATTTTACGCAAATTAGATTTCCACTAAACTTAATTTTATTCTTTAATGAGATACAGGCATCACTAGTTATGTCATTATTTGCTGCCCATTCCTAATTGCCCCTGTGAAGGTTGTGAAGGTGAGCTGCTTTCTTGAACCACTGCAGTTGATCTGTTATTAGTATTACGTAGCTGTTTGGAACAAGTGAGTAGGTTGCTCAGCCGGAAATCAAAAGTCAAGCACTTTTCTGTGGCTCTTGACTCAGACCAGGTTTGCCTTCTCCGAAGGATGTTATGATATTTCCTGATCACAATTACTGAAATTATCTTTTAATTCCAGATTCATTAATTCACTGCGCTTAAATTCTACTAGCTGCCACTAGTGGAATTTGGCCCCATGTCCTCAATGCATTAATTTAGGTTTCTAAATTACAAGATGAATGACATTACCACAAGGCCACAATCTCCCTTATATAATTCAGAGGTTTAGCAGAAGAAGAGAAAGAAATGTTCCATTGCTTTTTGATTTTGCTAAAATTTTCAGCCTTTGGGAATCGATTCTTACTCTGCAGCAAGAGAAGAAACTGGTAAACTTGATTATCTGGTAACTGATTAAGATTTATTCCATTGCTAAAGTTCAAAAAGTACAGCAGCTGATGGTAAGGTTAATAAAATATATAAAAGCACAATTAAATATAAAGTTCAATATCATAATTAAATAGCTCCTTAGAAGATAGTAAGGATAGCAGGATCGGGGATGTATCACAGTTTTGTAATATGTGGATATTCTTGCATACCAGTTTGGTCCAGACTAAATAAAAACCTAAAGAACTGCAGATGACGTTAATCAGAGACAAAAGTAGAGGTTGCTGGAAAAGCTCAGCAGCTTTTGAAGGGTCACGTGACCCAAAACGTTAACTCTGATTTCTTTCCACAGATGCAGTTAGACCTACTGAGCTTTTCCAGCAGCCTTTATTTTTGTTTCTGGTCCAGAGTAAACATGTCTACAGCAAGTATTGAAGTCCACACTGTAGGGATTCTATGATCACCCAAGCCACATGCAAATTGGCACAGGGCAAATCAGATTAGAGAGATAAAAGGGTGGCTCAAAGACTGGTGTGGGTAAAGTGGCTTCCAGTTCATGGGTCATTGTTGTTAGTTTCTTTTTGGGTGGGGAGATGGGAGCTGGTATTCTTGGCAACCACAAAAATAGGGAAGTAGAGAGGATTTAAAATTGAATAATGGTACATGGGATCAAATTTGGGAAGATGTGGTATATCAAAGAGTAAAGTCAAGGCTAAAGAGAAAGGCGTTAATAAGGAAAATTTGACACAGACCGTCCAAGTAGAGATAAAGAATATAAATTCAAGAGTCAACCAACAGACAAGATTAGTATTTGTCCTTTCACTATAGGCAGTGAAAGAATAAAACTAAACGTTCTGTCTCTGCGTGCATGTCGCATTCAAAAGAAAACAGAAGAATGGATTGCAAATAGAAATGAATAAGTACAAAGTGGAAACATTAGAGAGACACGGCTACAGAATGACAGACTGGGACCTGAATTTTGAAAGAAACAAGACAATAGGAAAGTATGAGAAAGTGGAAGAAGGTTCTATTGGTTAATGATAGTATTAGCATAATACAGAAGGATGATTGCAGTTCAGGAAACCAAGATGTGGAAACAGGTTTTGCACAAATGAAGCAATAAGTCACTTGTGGGAATGGTGTACAGCCTCCTAATCATGCCATACAGTAGGATGGTGCACAAGGTAAGAAGTAATGAGTGCTTGTCAGAAAGGCACAGGTGAGTATCATGGGAGATTTCAATTTACATATTGATTGGGAAAGTTAGATGAACATTAGAAAGCTTAGCTGAAGAGTTCATCGAATGTTTTAGAAGCATAGAAAATAGGAGCAGGAGTAGGCCACTCGCTCCTTCAAGCCTGTTCTGCCATTCAATAGGATCATAACTGGTCATCCAACTCAGTATCCTGTTCTCCCCATACGCTTTGGTTCCTTTTAGCTTGAAGAACTACATTTAACTCCCTCTTGAAAGCATGCAATGTTTTGACCACAACTGCTTTCTGTGGCAGAGAACACCACTGGCTCATCACTCTCTAAATGAAAATATTTCTCCTCATCTCAGTCATAAATGGCCTACCTCATATTCTTAGACTGATCCTTGATTCTGGACTCCCTGGTCATCGGGAACACTGTTCCTGCAATGACCTGTAAAGTCCTACGAGACTTTTATAGGTTTCTATGAGATCCCCAATCACTCTTCTAAATACCAGTGAATACAGTCATAGAGTCATACAGCATGAAAACAGACCCTTTGGTCCAACTTGTCCATGCCGACCAAGTTTCTGAAACTAAACTAGTTCCACTTTTCTGCATTCAGCCCGTATCCCTCTAAATCTTTCTTACTCATGTACCTATACATATGTCTTTTAAATGTTGTAACTCTACCTGCATTTACTATTTCCTCTGCCAGTTCATACCCACTTTGTGAAAAAGTTGCCCCTCAGGTCCTTTTTAAACCTTTCGCCTCTCACCTTAAAATATATCCCCCCAAGTTTTGACCTCCCCTCTCCAGGGAAAAGATCTTTGCTAGTCACCTTATGTATGCTCCTCGTGATTTTATAAACCTCTAAGGTTCTAACTCAACGTTCTATGGTCCAGTGGAAAAAGGTCCCAGCCTATTCAGCCTCTCCTTATTACTCAAACCCTCAAGTCCCGACAACCTGGTAAATCTTTTCTGAACCCTATCCAATTTAATAACATCCTTCCCATAGCAAGGCAACTAGAACTGTACACAGTACTCCTAAAGTGGCCTCACCAACATCCTGTACAACACCTATACTCAATTATCTGAGCAATGAAGGCAAGCATGCTAAATGCCTTTTTAACCAGCCTGTCTACCTGCGACGCAACTTTCAGTGAATATGTACCTGGACCCCTAGGTCTTTGTTCTATAACACTACACAGGACCCTACAATTAACTGTATAATTCCTACCCTTGTTCGTTTTACCAAAATGCATTTATCCAAATTAAACTCCACCTGCCACTCCTCAGCCCATTGGCCCAATTTGTCAAGATCTCTTTGTAATCTTAGATAACCTACTGCACTGATGACTATACCGCCGATTTTGGTGTCATCTGCAAACTTACTAACCATGTCTCCTAAATTCTCATCCAAATTGGTTATATAAATGAGAAACAACAGTGGACCCTGCACCGATCCCAGCGTTTATTGCCCATACCTAATTGTCCTTGAAAAGGTGAAAAGGTGTTGGTGAGCTGCCTTCTTGAATCACTGAAGTCAATTTGGTGTTAGTATGCACAAATGCTGTTTGGGAGGGAGTTCCAGGATTTAGAACCAGCGACAGTGAAGGAATGGCATCATATTTTCAGGTCAAGATGGTGAATGACTCGGAGGGGAAATTGCAGGTGGTGGCACTCCCATGTTTCTGCTGCCGTTATCTTTCTAGATGGTAGTATGTGGGTTTGGAAGGTGCTGTCCGAGTAGCCTTAGAGAATTTATGCATGCATCTTGTAGATAGCACTGCTCCCTTTGATGCGATGGTATGTCTCAAAGTATTTCACACAAGTGCAATCAGACAAAAATTGACAAAGGAGGAGATATTAGGAGGAGAAGTCATATCAAACTCGGTCAAAGAGATAGATGTTACTGAAAATCTTAAAGCAAAAGAAAGGCAAAGAGATCACGTTTAGGGAGGGAGTCCTTGGTTAAAGAAAGGAATGGGGGCCCACATGAGGCCAGAATACAAAGCTCTCAGACAGTTGTAGGACTAGGAGAGATTATACTAGTGACGAGTGAGCCCATGGAGTAAGTGAATAGGAAGATGAAAATATTAAATTTAAAGGGAGGGAATTGAGACCAATTGTAGGGCTTGACTCTTAGTTGAATAAGGCCTGCTAACTCAGCACAGGAGATGAGCTAGAGACCTTCCAGCTTGCATGTCCAGAGCACAGAGAAATTCCTTTACTTATTAGTGATAGGAGAGTAAATTTTTAACAATATGTCGACAAATTGCATTAATTGCAAATCTAAAAGACTCCTTTAACTGAAAAATGTAATTATTTGCATTTCAATATACTCGTTTAGGTTGCATAATAGACTAAATCATGCTAACAATTAATTTCACTTGCATTCAATTATAACCATAGTACTAATTATAGTAAGCCCTGCAACTGAAAAGTGCAATTCAATACACCAAAATCCATCTGTAAAATTTCAAGTCTTACAGCACCACAGTTTGATGCCCTGAGACGGAACTTTCATGTTACGTTTGCAGAAGTACATGGACTGATACTGTAAATCAGATCCACTTACTTTGATGGGTCTGCTCCCTTAAAATAAGCATTAACTGACTCTGTGAAAGCAGTTGCAACCGGCAAGGAGTCTTGTGTTCCAAGACTTATTGGACTGGGTCCACGAGAAGTGCCTAGTGGATAAATACAGGAAAATAAAAATGTACTTATGTTAATTTAATTCAACAGTAGCTTTTGTGCCAGTAGTTATATAACATTTTTAAATGGAGATCTTAAAAGTTTGATTTTAAAACTTTAATAAGTTGTATACAGAACATTAGGTTCATATTTTTAAACTTGAAATTATCAGGCATACAAATTTGATCATTTGAAACAAGTTAGGCAGGTTGAGAAATTCTGAAGAGTAAAATGCAAAACAATTTTCTTTTTCATAGTGCAAACTGTAGCAGTAAAGCAAACGTTTGGTGATGCACAACAGCAACAATTTCTCAGTATTTTAATAAATAATGTGATTATGTAAACGGCCAATGCCCAAAAGAGGGAAACTTGCAATGGTGACGCTGTGCAAACTGAATCACAACTGTGATATACAGTGCCAAAATTTTGACTTAGTGTCTCAAAAATTCCCAGTACCTTTCATTTAAGCCAAAGTAGATAACAAGAGGTTAACCACAGAATACCTACAGTGCAGAGAGAGGCCATTCAGCCTGACATGTCTGCACTGGCCCTCCAAAGGGTATCCCACCCAGAACCACCCCCTCCATCTTCACAACGTAACCCCACATTTACCATGGCTATTCCACCTAGCCTGCATATCTATAGGCACTACAGGACAATTTACGTGGCCAATCCACCTAACCTTTGGACTATGGAAGGAAATGGCAACACCCAGCAGAAACCTATGCAGACATTAGGACAATGTGCAAACTCCATAGTCACCCAAGACTGGAATTGAACCGGGGTTCCTGGCACCGAGCGGCAGCAGTGCTAAATACTGTACAACTATGTTTGTTGGTGGAAATATATTGGAAAATAATTAGAAATAACATGAATGTACCTTCAGTGCCCTCTTATTTCTTCTTAATATTGCTCCTTGGTGACATCATCTGAACACAAAGTGTTGGTTTTGTAAGCTGACAATACCCAGTTCTACCTCACCATTATTCATTTTTCTCAAGTGTTCACTGCTGCTAAATTATCAGATTACTTTACTTAACATTCACTACGGGATAAGCAATAACTATATCTAATTAAATATGAAGAAGACTGAAGCCATGGTGTTTCATTTCAAACTCTGTTTCCTAGTTACTGGCTGCATTCTTCTTCTCGGAGATTAAATTGGTCTGTTCACTACATGGATGTCACACATGATCAAGACATGAGCCTCCAACCTCATAACAGTTATCAAAATGACTGCCTATTTCCTTCACCAAGATTGCCTGTCTCAGCTAATCTGCTTATCAAACCCTCATTTATAGCTTAATTACCTCAGGTCTCAGCTATTTCAATGCACTCCTGGATGGAGTGTGCAAGATGGTGGCAGAGTAAGACACTTCAGCTGAAGCTCCTCTGCTCACCAGTTCCTTTTCCTTTTTCTTTGCATTCTTGCAGCAGTTTTTCTTCCAACCCCCCACAGCTTTTAACTTCTTAAACTAATGGAGGCAAGATGAAGGGAGACGAGTCGCGGGCTGGAGCGTGAAGCAGGGAGCAGAGCGAGCACAGGCTGGGTCCTGGAGCGGGAAGCAGAGTGAGCGCAGCCGAAGCCTGGAGCGGGGAGCATAGCGAGCACAGGCTGGATCCCAGAAGCGAGTTGCAGCCGGAGCCCAGAGCAGGAGCAGAGCATGCGTGGGCTGGCTGGGAGGCCAAGTCCTGGAGGTGAGTCTGGGACAGAGGGAAGGCCTTGTGTTCGGAAGCCCAGCGGGCATGGACTCCGTCGAAAAGGACCATAACTTGAGTACTTTAAAGACACTTTTATTTTCATTCTGGGCTTTTAAACTCTGTATTCCCATGCTAGTCTATTTCTTTCTACTATTTCAACTCTTTAACAACACTTAAAGTATCTGTATCTAGGTACTGTGTACCTAAGATGGCACCGACAGGTGACATTACAAACTTTTCACTGCACTTATTCGCTTGCACATGATAATAAAAACTATTCTATTCTATTTTGCAAACTTCAGTCATTCAAAACTTTGTTGCTGAAACCTTAAGGCACGCTAAGTCCCATTTACCTATCGCTACTTGTTCTCACTGAGCTACAAACACTCTTGGTCAAACAATGACCTGATTTTAAAATCCTTGTTTTCAAATCCTTCCCCAACCTTCTGCTTCCTTCTTCTGTAATCCCTTCTAACCACATGATTTTCAAGTATCTGTGCTTCTCTAATTCCAGCATTTTAAGCACCCCCAGTTTTAATCAATCAACACTGGTGGCCATGTCTTTAGCTGCTTAGCCTCCATGTTCTGGAAAATCTCCCTATAAACTCTCTCCCCCTCTATATTACCCTTCTCCTTATGAAACTCCATAAAACCTACCTCTGACTAAATATTTGGTCATCTGACCTAATATTTCTCAGGTGTCTTGGTATTGCAATTATTTCATGATATTCCTCTGAAACAGCTTGGGATATTTTATGTTAAAAACACCATATAAATGTAAGTAACAGTTATTATAACAACCAATATTATTTGATAGATAAGCATTCGTTAATTGGTGACTTCTTGTATTAATGCTTACAAGTTATAAAAAATAACGGAAAGTATGCACGTACAACTTAAGTGAGTCTTGTACTGGACATTTTTCCTCTATATGCAATTTTGTAACTGGAATTATGAAAGTTGATGCATTTACTTATGTCGTTCCAAAGAATATTATCATACAATAACAAACTACTGAACGTTTTTATGCAGATGTTAATTGAAAATCTAAATCCATTTGTGTAAAAATTGCTGCAACTATGTTGTTCCTCTGACTTTTTGTTGAGTATTAAGTTGATTAAAGCTAAAAAGAAAAAGCAGTCAAAATAGGTCAATATCACCTATTTATTGATGAAAGAGAATGTCTGCTGACATCCTTGTTAAAGGTCTCAATGTACACGTGCAAAATGCACATGCGCAATATCCCCGTCAGCCTGCCAGTGTTGTCACTCTAGCTGATTCACAAAAATTTACTGTTTTTCATTGGCAGACTGTTTTATAAAATGTGCATATATTTCTGCGTGTGCAATGTGAACTTTTCGGGGTGTCAGGAAACATCAGTTTAGGTAAAAATCATGAAATAATATTTTATGACTACATAGTAATTTGCCTAGTTAATTTTAGTTACATGCTTATAGTATTCCTACATAAATACTGGAATTTGTATCAGGATGTTAACCTTCTTGGACAGACAGGTGCAGATAAGGTTCAATGCAGGGAAATGTGATGCAATGCATTTTGGCAGGATGAACATTAGAATTGTAGCCCTTATTTTAAATTGTCTTTCAAAGAGGGTGCAGCAGCACGGGGACCCGAGTGTACATGTAAATGATTCACTGAAGGTGGCAGGACAAGCGGAGAATGCATGTCTTCAGCTTTACTAACAGGGCCATAGAGTACAGCAGCAAGGAATATTATGCACAATTGTGAGTGCCACATAATAGGAAAGATGTGAATGCATAGGAGAATAGTACAGAAGTGATTTACAAGAATGGTTCCAGGAATAAGAAACTTCAGTTATGAGGATAGATTCAACAAGTTGGAACTGTTTTCCTTGGACAGAAGGAAGCTGACAGGAGATCTGATAGATGTTTTCAAAATCATGAGCTGGCTGGGTACAAATCTGTTTCTGCTCATAAAAGGAAAAAGAACAAGAAGGCACGGACTTAGAGAGTGACCTGCAAATGAAACAAGGGGATGCAAGAAAAATTCCTTTTAACTCAGCGAGTAGTTCGGGAATGGAATGCACTGTCTGGAATGGTGGTGGAGGCAGGTTCAACTAAGGCACTCAAGAAGCACTGAATGATTATTTAGATAGAAACAGAGTACCAGGGTATGGAAAAAAGCAGGAGATTGGCACAGGATAACAGTGATGATTTGAACAGCAGACATGATGCGCAGAACGGCTGCCTTCTCCTTCTAATAATTCCATGATTATGTTCTATTTACCAAACTTGTTACTTTTCTTAATCTCTTGCTGCACAGAAAGTTAACCCAGAAAATAGATTATCCTAACTAGGCGATAAACCTTGTATCACATTATTTTTTCACCCGTTGGATGTGGGCATCTTTGGTTTGGCCAGAATTTATTGCAAGTTCTTTGTAGCCCTTGAGAAGGTCGCGGGGAGCTGCCTTCTTCAACCACTGCAGTTCATGTGCTGTCGATAAACCCATGAAGTCATTCGTGAGGGAATTCCAGGATTTTAACCAAGTGACAATGAAGGAATTATCAACTATCTTGTTGCCCTTGTGTCACTTAAGTCCTCACCAGCCTTTAACAGGAATATATTCAGTTGTCAAGAACTCAGTGATGATCTCAGAAATAACAATAAAACAAGCGATATCCAATTCAGGTGCTATTTAGATAATATTGTAATACAAAATAACCTGGGTCCAGATATCCTAAATATGATCCTCCTCTCTAGATCACTCACCCCTTCGTTCAAGAGGTACAATCATTGCCAGTGTGAATATGATCATCAGAATACTTTTAACTTTGTTAGCTGGCGATTAACAAATGGCCAGTATCATCTTGAACTTGCATACTGATAATGACATCAGGTCTTATCAAAGGAGGTATCTGCAGATTCTTGATCTGGTATAAGGTATAACATACTGAAACAAAGGATGTGTAGCCTGTTGGTAAGGAAGCCTTAGCAAAAGCAGTTAAAGAATAAGCATTACTGATTCTCAAGACCTGTTTTTCCTTCAACTCACACTTCACAAATCTAAGCTCCCAATACTTGTAAGAACTCTTTGGATTCACAGGAACTTCATACGAATGAAACCTTTAAAATTCTGTATGACTAATTCATGTAATCACACCAGACACTTCAATATATTAATCTGCACATAAAAATTATCAAGCAATAAAATAAAAAATGTTTACCTTCAAAAGAAAGGATACCTGCCATTTATCCAGCATGTTTGACAGTTTGAGTTCCAAAGATGCAAAGGACAAATAAAAGTTACAGAAAAGAGTTGTGGAGAAAAGGACTGACAAAATAGAGTAAATAAACCTGAGGATGAGGGACAACAGAGATGGAGTACTTACTGAGGAAAAGTAAAGGTTAATTATTGCTAGTAGAGAACAGATGATTTCCTGAAAGGCTATGTACTTTGTACAGATGTTTATTGTCAATGTAGTCAGTTTTATCCATTATTTATTCAAACAGTTCACAACTAAAAACTAGTGAATACAAACTATCACAGTAATAGGACTGATTCCTCTATGAAATGGTTCAAAGCTTTCAATTACAGTACCTGGAGGTGTCTCACTGCGCCTCTCAAATGAAGGAAGTTTTCCAGTAAACATATCACCATCTAGTACATCAAACACATAAACATAGGGACAGAGACCAAAAGACAGTGACCAGATATTAAAGCAAATGCGTCATGCAGAGAGATGCAAAATTTTCTAGGTTTTAATTGTGCAAAATGTAGATGTCAAGGTTTAGAACAATGAAACCAGATATCGGCTGACATACTGATAACTTCATCTAAGTGCTAAGGACATTCATAAAGTTTTCAGTCAAAATATCTAACATCAAAATATGAAAAACTTTTAGGAGTGTTTCCAGTTTTGCACAATTAAAAGTGCCATTTTAGCATGCTTTTAGACTGACATCACATATTTGAAAGGAACAGAACTCAGCAAAAAACATGCAGTTAGAAGTATACCATAATTTATATTAAGCGTATATGAACCAGCAGTTGTGATAATATCAACTTTTTAAAACATCAGTTTCATCATGACTTGTATGCATTTTTCTTCACTGCAAAAGCTGGCTGAATGGCCAAATCAGATCGTTCAGAACATCAGGTCAAAAGATTAAAGCAGAATGCAAGTTAGATTATATGATTTTAATTGAAGATATCTTTAACAATAGTATTTTTCTTTGTTTCCAAGACAATTATTTTGAATGCAAATGAAATTGAGATTAGACAGCTAAACGTTATAAAAACTCAGTGAACAAATCAAAGTCAGTATAAAACATACTCTGAAGACTTATTAAATTTATTATGCTTTGAAAGCTGGTTTTCTAGATAAAATTAGGTACAGAAACTACATGGCATGCTCAATAATATTCTAAAAACCCATCAGAATATAGTATTAAGACTGTGATTTAACAAAGCGGCACTTCTGTTAGCAAAGCCCATCATCAGCGCTGAAAAACACAAGCAATGCAAACTGAACAAATAAATTGATTAAAATATTATATTAAAATTGGTGGCATGCACAGAAAATAAGAAAAGTGGTTTTCATATTTTGTTCATTTTTCCAAACATTGGGCAACTTTAAAAGTTAGGATGGCCTAACGAATAATCCTTAGATAAACAGCACCAATACTTTACAGGTGAAGCTGAAACTTGGTTTCAATGTTCTTGGTAAAAACTGTGCCTTAACAAGTTTCCCTTTCCTCCTGAATAATTAGAGTGGCAATGATGAAGCATTCTATTAGCAGGGTGTGAGATTTCTATATGTTTTAGTGTAATTTATTTTTGAATTTGTATTAGTGTTTATTGGAGGGATTTAACGATTAACTTGAAATATTTCTGGAGTCACAGTGGTTTCTTTTAAATCACAGTGAGAGAAAGACTTCCTGGAGAACAATGGGCTTTTCCTTACATTGGCAGGATTATATGAATGAACAAGGAAAACAGTTTTGTATTGGGCTTCAGTTTACAAGTGCTTGGAATGTTGTTCTGTCTTTTAAGTAGGGAAAACACCCATCGCCTTGGGAAAAGTCTCTTATTTTCCAGTTTGTTTGGGCAGATCTGGTGGGTTCTTAGTTGAAGCTAGGCTTGTAAAGCTGTTGATCCTGAGAAAGAAGGTTTAGAATGGTTAAAAATAAGTTACCTCAGTGAAATACATTTAGGAAAAGTTCCTGACCAGAGGTATTTGGTTAAAACCCTGAAAAGGTTATGTGAAGCTGAGAAAGCTTAAGCTTAGTTACATGAAAACACCAAGGAAAAAGAAAAATCATCTAATTTTCAACACTGGGAGCTGAAATCACAGGAAAAATAATGCATGTAGGAGAGATAGAGAAAGCAATTTTCTGGCGTACAGTTAAGGTTGTTTTGGGATTAGTGGGATTATATTTTTACCATGTATTTTGAAATATTTAAAGGTATATTATATGTAAATAGCTCAGTTTCTGTATTAACTTTATTTCTTTTGCATAATAAACTTTTGTTTCACTGTTGAAACAAAATCTATAGCATTGTATGCTAATATTTCAGTGAAAGACCACCTCAATAAAATCAAAGAATGAACTGTCAAGCCAGATTTCAGTCTGGGATCTGACATATCCAGTAATAACATCAGTTGGGATCAGTCTCCCAGCCTGCCTCAATCCCTTACAATTTGCCTACCGATGTAATAGGCCCATAGAGAATGCCATATCCCTGGCCCTGCCCTCATCCCGGAAACATCTGGACATCAAAAGACATCTATGTCAGACACCTGCTTGTTGACTACAGCTCCGCCTTCAACCCATTATACCCTCCAGACTGATCTCAAAATTGCATGATCTTGGTCTTGGCTCCAGACTCTGCAAACAGATCCTCAGCTTTCTGAACTACAGGCAGCAATTAGTGAAGATATGTAACTGCACCTCCTCCACAATAACAGTCAACACTGGTGCACCCCCGCCAAGGATGCATTCTCAGCCTCTGCTGTACTCCCTTTACACTTACGACTGTGTTACCAAATTCCGAACGAACACCATCCACTCCGTCGCATATGTTCATATGAGGCCAACTTCAACAAGACAGCGCCCAAAATGTCCACCTTCTTCTCAGCCAAGGATTTCCCAGCACTGCTGTCAACAGGTTCAGACCCTCAACCGGGTCTGACCATCTCCCACACTTCTGCCCTCACCCCCTCTCTCTTCCCATACCGCAACAGCGATAGGGTTCCCCTTATCCTTATCTACCATCTCATCAGCATCCACATCCAGAAGATCATCAGATGCCGATGCCACCACCAGACACATATTTCCCTACCCTCCTTTGTTCACCTTCTGCAGGGACTGTTCCCTCCGGGACACACTGATCCACTCTTCCTTCACTCCCAACAGCCCTACGGCACCTTCCCCTGCAACCAGCAAAGATGCAACACCTGCCCATTTAACTCCTCCCTCCCCAGTATCCAAGGGCCCAAACATACCTTCCAGGTGAAGCAAACTTCACCTGCACTTCCCAGAATCTAGTCTACTGCATTCACTGCTCACAATGTGGTCTCCTCTACATTGGGGAAAGAAAGCACAGACTAGGTGACCACTTCACAGAACATCTACGTTCTGCTGCACGCAAGACCCTGAGCTACCTATTGCCTACCACCCTGTTCCCCGGCCAACATCTGTGTCTCTGGCTTGCTGCAGTGTTCCAGCGAAGCTCAACGCAAGCTGGAAGAACAACACCTCATTTTCCACTCAGGGTCGCGACAGTCCTCTGGACCTAATATAGAGTTCAATAATTTTAGAGCCTAAACTCTCCCATGTCCGAGCCCCCTACCCCACACAGCAGGCCTTGTTACCACATAGCCTGCCATTACACACTACCTATTGTTAGTCACTAACAGTCCCCATTAACAGCTATTCACCTTCCTAGCCAGATTGTTATCAACTCCTTTGTCTATCCAACTGCTCTTCTCATTCTTTGGGCTGTATCTGTTATCCTATTATTTACTCCCTACCCCATCCCCCTCCCTATTTTCTGCATTTTCCCAGGTACCATCAGTTCTGAGGAAGGGTCACCAGACCCGAAACATTAACTCTGATTTTTTCTTCACAGATGCTGCCAAATCTGTTGAGTTTTTCCAGCAACTTCTGTTTTTATTCCTGGTTTAAAGCATCCACGGTTCCTTCGGTTTTTATTTAGTATTTAACTCACTGTCACATCTCTTCTAGGTATGTCCACCTTGAAGAAGTTCTGCTCCTCTCTCCAACAGGATTTCCATTCCAATCTTTATTCTTGTCCACTGACATTAATTTCACAGTCACTCCTGGTGTTTGACCAAGTATTTACTAAAACCTGCTTCCACAGCCATATCACATTCCTCAGTGACCGCCTCCAGCTCAGACTCAGCCCACGTGCATTCCTCCTGAAGTTTCATCCCTCATGTTTTGAATCTTTGCAGGATCATAGATATCTGTGACGTTCAACATGTCACTGAGCAGGTTCAGGAACAGCTTCTTCCCGGCCATTATCAGATTGATGAATGGACTCCCTAGCCTCAAATAATGCTGATCTTGCTAACGTTGATCTCGCCTAGCGCACGCCCTGTGCAATGTAACCTGTATGCCTCCGTCTAAGTCTTTTTGATCTGCACATCCTTTGCTTACTATGATCTTCCTGTACTACTTGTAAACAAAACTTTTCACTGTATTTAAGTACACGTGCAATAAATAAATAAATCCTAATGTAAGGGAAAGAGGATTGTAATCAGATGACAGATTTGGAATTTTCCAGGTTTGAGTTTGAAGCAAATTTTCTGCAACAAAGAATCTTGGTACCTAGTAATAGACTTGATGCTACCATATTATTTATTTATCACAGATAAGTGAACTTCAGTCTCTAGAAAAGTAAAGTCAGGATGATGACTGGCTTGGATATGAACTTGAAAATGGTGACGATCCCATGTATTTGCTGCCCTTGTCCTTATAACTGGTGAAGGTCAAGCGTTCGAATGTATTGTCTAAGGTGCCTTGGTGAGTTGTTGCTGTGCATCTTATAGATGGGCACACACTGCTGCCACCAGTGTGTCATTGTTGCGAGGACCGAATGTTGAAAGCATTGGATGGGGTGCTTTGAGAGTGGTTGGAGCTGACTATTTTGAACAATTGGAGATAATTCAATCACACTCCTAACTTGTAGCATATAGATGGTGGGCAAGCTTTGAGGAATCAGGAGGGGAGTTAGCAGTTACAGAATTTTAAGCCTCTGACTTGCTCTTGTCTTGCAAACAAAGTAGTTATATGGCTGATCCAGGTCAGTTGGCAAAGGAAACCACGAGGATATTGAAAGAGAAAAAAAAAAAAAAAAAAAGTGTTGAGGGGCAATGGTTGGATTCTCTTGTTAGAGATGGTCACTACCTGCCACTTGTGTAAATGTACATGCCACAAATCAGCCTTTGCCATATTTGGATATGAATTGCTTCAGAAAAAATAAAGTCTCCATAGTTCTACGAAAGTGTCGGGCTGCTTTCTCATTAGAGAGGGATGACAGTGGTGGTTTAACCTGAGGGTCACCACAGTCAGGTGAGGTGAGAGGCTGAGGAGGAGTATCCTTCATAGTAATCTCAGCTGGTGTGGAAATTGAACCCATACTGTTTGCATTATTCAGTGGTACTGCTGCATAGTAGCTAATTAGGTGGGGTTGAGAGGGCACGGGGGTCAAATATCAAGACTTTATCTCCACAAGGACTGTCTGGTGGTCATACCTAGAAATACTGTTGTGGATGGATACATCTGCTACAGGCAATGTGATGAGGATGAGGTCAAGTGTGTTTTCCTTTTGTTGGTTCTCCCATCTCCTGTCGCAGACCCAGTCTGGCAGCTATGTCCTTTAAGACTCAGCTAGCTTTGTCAGTGGTGGTGCTATGAAGCTACACTTGGTGATGGACATTGATGTTTACTACCCAGGGCACATTCAATGCTCTTGCCACCTTTATTGTGACCTCCAAGTGGTGCTCAACATGGAGAAGAACTGAGGGAGGAGGCTGTAGGTGGCAATCAGCAGGAGACTTCCTTCCTCATGTTGACTCAATGTGATGAGGCTTCAACTACAACTCTCTCCTGACCATATACCACTATGTTGCCACTATTTGTAGGTACTTCCTGGAATACTGATGGTGGTGTCTGGGACAGTCATACTCAGGGAATCATATTTTCACAAACAATATCAGGCTCTGGCTCGACTAGCCTGTAGGACAACTCTCCCAATTTTGGCACACGGTCCAGATGTTAGCAAAGAGGTACACGGTTATTAGTGGCCTGGTTAATACTGAATCCATCTTGTTTAATTCTTTCTAGCTTGCTAGGCCATTTCAGAAGGCATTTAAGAATCAAACAAATTGCTGAGGATCTAGTGTCACATGAAGGCCAGGTGTGATTGGCAGATTTTCCATCCCTAAAGGACATTAGTGAACCAGAGATAGCAAGGTGTAGAGCTGGATGAACACGGCAGGCCAAGCAGCATCAAAGGAGCAGGAAGGCTGACGTTTCGGGCCTAGACCCTTCTTCAGAAAATCACCAGATGTGAACCAGATGTGTTTTTACAACAATCATCTAATGGTGACCATGAAACCATCATTAAGCTTTTAATTCTACATTGAATTCAATGAATTCAAACTTCACCATCTACCACTGTGGGATTCAAATTCATTTTTCAGAGCATGAGCCTTGATCTTTGGTTTACTAGTCCACCGCATTCCCCCAATCTTAAAGATCATATATCTTCTTGTTTGTACAAATATACTGGGTATAACATGGTTGTTGCAATTCCATATGTTACATGAGTAACTGCAACTCAAAGCTACCTAACTTGATAAAAATTTCAAGGAACCTCCTGGGGTAGGTAAAAGTGTCTTTTTAATGCAAGCTTTCTTTCTTCTATTGAGAAGAAGAAATGCCAAAAAAGACAGACTAATGAATTTCAGATGCAAGACAAATTATTTGAACCATTGTCTAACATTGTCATAGCTGGAAATTAATAATTTATGTTATATAATGAAATTATACCATTTAAATATTCACTACATTACCACTTTAGAATTATTGGCATAATAACACCAATTTATAAGTACATGTTAAAATGCGAAATATTATTTGGAACAGTATTACAAAGAGAAAATTCTGATTTTAAATAAATTTCCCTGACACAGAATTATCATGGAATGAAAAATTGAGTAAAAGGCCTCTCTTGATCTTGTGATGCAAAGTTATACAGTGAAACTCAACTGGTAGAATAATTAATATATAAAACAATACCAGGCATGGGTCTTTCAATTGCAAAATTCATATGAAAAACCGCAGCAACTAAGGGAAAATGAAAAAAAAATGTTCATAGGCAGAATTTAAAACACTAAACTGGAAGAATTTCCAGTCCCCTGTTATAATGGCATTGCTGAGAAGAATCATAACAGTTCCAGCATTAATTAATACTCTGAGATGTTAGTTATTTCCCTCTTTCAAATCAGAAAATAAACATTATAAATGCGCTGCGCATTTTGGTCTATCAATTTATGTTATAGAGTTTATGTTTGAGGAGTTATCCAAATTCCGAGTATCAAGCAACTAAAACTGTAACACAGTGGCTTAATTTTAGAAGTAGCAATTGATTCAAAAGTTGCTTAGCAAATGCAAAGTATAAGCTTACAACCACAGAATACAGATGTATCAACTGAATCAACTTACAAAACTATTATGCACAATCTAGTCAATGAAACTCACAAATGGCTGCTAAACCATCCTCCCAATAATAAGGATTATGGCTTTTGAGGAAGGAATGAAACTGGATGTGGTGCATGTTCCAATTTATTACTAATGTAGGACACTTAAAATTAGCATTACCCTCACCACATGACATAGCAGGCCTCATCCAAAGCAGTGTGCACATTGAGACATTTTGTTCAATCAGCGACGTTCTGGATTGACTTACAAACGTCTCAAAGATTAACCTGTTTGGCTTTACTAGGCTTTTAGACTTTCAGTACTAACATGACTGAGAAACCAATATATAGATGTGATGTATAATCAATTCCAATTTTATGGAGGTTGATTTCATCTCTAAAATGCCTAACAGATCTCTGAAAACATCTGCAGAACGGTGTTTATCAATAGTTGCGTGTTGGTAGAGCACTTGAATATCACTTTCCTGAAATATGCTGCCAAAACTTTTAATCTTTTACTTATCAGGACAAATGCAAAAGTGCTAAATTCCAAACAATGACAATTTACACTGCAGAAGTCCCAAGGGTTGGCAAGTTAACTCTGATTGCCAGAGGCATTGCCATGGAGAAAATACGAGGGTTCCTTTAAAAGTTTTAATTCCCCAGCAATTGCAGGGAACTGTTCCCTGTATGTGAAAGTATGTTGCTTCCAACAAGAAAAAAATGAAACAAACGAGGACCTCATCTGGTTGTGAAGGTAGTTATAGGTACCTGCTGGAATTGTTTAGCAAATACTGTACATATGGACATCTCAACAAAGATCAATGTTTTATTTTACATAGGAACATGGGAGCAGGAGAAGGCCATTCAGTCCATCGAGCATGTTTCACGCTTGAATATGATAATGGACTTATCATCCATTTAGATGCTTTTTGCCTACACTCTCCTCATATCCCTTTGAATCATCAGTATTTAGAAAGTTGTCAACCTCGACTTTACACATACTCAATGACTGAGCTTCCATACCCCTCTGGGATAGAGAATTCTGAATATTCACAACCTGCTGAGTTTTAAAAAAAGTAAATTCTCCTCATCTTGGTCCTAAATTGCTTCTCCTTATTTTGCAAGTGCGCTTCCGGTGCTACACTTATCAACCAGAGGAATCATTTTAGCTGTCAGTCCCTTTAGGTATTCAGTAAGTTTTAATAAAATAACCACATTCTTCAAACAGAGCATACAGGGTCAGTTTTATCAAACTCTTCATAGAACAGTCCTATCATCCCTTTTGTTGGTTGCTTCATCACCTGTTGCAAGCAGGCTAGTGACTATGTCGATTAGAACTCAACTAGTTTGGTCAGTAGTGGGGATAGGCACTGAAGATCTCCACCTAGATCGCTTTTTGTGCCCTTACCACCCCCAATGCTTCCTCCAAGAGGTGGTTAACATGGAGGAGTACTGATTGAGAGTGGGGTGATGGTGGAGTATGGGTTAGTTGACCTACTTAATTTCTAAGTCAAGCTTGCAAAATGAGCAAATGGCTCAGGTGTCATCTGAAAAGAATGCTGATCAGGCCAATCTCAATGCATGGAGCTATGCATATTCCAGCACATATATTCACCATGATGATTGGCTTTTGGTAGATGGAGTGGAGCACCCATTATCCTCAACATGCAGGAAAATGCAGCATGTGAGACTGCGCCATCAAGTGAATTTCAGCATAGGAGGGATTACACATGACCACAGGTTCAAAGATAATGAATGTATCAATTACAAATCAGAAACATACACAGTGTAGGAGGTTAAGGCTTATTCCATTGAAATGTGATTTTCATGGAAACCAACCAAAATGTTAGGGAAAATGGATATACAGGGGATCCCATGGTACACTATCTATTTGGGCACACATGGTGTCAGTGCTTTTTTTGAATTACTAGGTGCCTATAGTTCCCCATTGGAAGTTACATAAAGAAAGCAATCAGAGCTCACTTGTAATCAGTTAGAACCCTTTACTCCTGTAGAATAAATTGGTTTGATTATTTGAAACTTGTTGTTCTTGCATTTGTCTTGAGTGAAATACAAAAGCTTTAGCAATATGCATCTTTATTTCAGCATCTTAAAAGCAATATGTAGGACAGATTGTCTTCAATATAAACAAAATACTAGCTTTGCTAGCTATGAATAGATTCATTAATGAACAGATATCATGTTCATTGTACAAAGCTATTCAAGAATGCATTTATCACATTCTTATTTAACTGTTATTTTTAAATGTTTTAGTCCTAACTCAAATTAAATTCAATTGCTACTGATGTTCACAGCAAGTAATGCAAGAATTCATTAGACCATTTTGTTTGTTGAATTATATTAAATTGGTATCTAAAAGAATTTAAATGTAACGGACTCTTAACATGTACCTACCAATGGTAGGTGTTGTTGCTGTACTCAATGAAGCAGATGACCCAATTGAGGATGTACTTTCTGCACGTGCCAGTGGGGCTACAGGAGGTGGACTGGTGGACGACATTGACGTAGGACTGAATGATCTAGACTGAAAAAAAAAAGCATTAACTCAGTTTGCTCATGTACAAGTTTCTAACTGAATTGAATAATTGTGTGATATATTGTTAAGGGTCCAACTTTAAGTTAGAGACCAGGTGGCAAATTGTAGTATATTTTAAAGTAAATGGCATTTTATTCTGTATAAAGACAAAAACAGATCATTAAGTGATTTGACAGATTTAAAAAAGTGAAGAAAGAAAATACAAGCATAAGTTTCTTATTTCATACAATTCAGTATGACACTCTGAATACAACATAGGTTACATTGTTGAACATTTGCATTTTTGAAGATGTTTCAAAAACTATGCAAAAAAACCTGTGCTGTCTGTTCTGTTCAGATTTAACGGATATAATTAATGATTTGATCACTATAGACTTACTCCCTGTTGCAAAGCTGCAGACTCAGAAGCAGTCTAAAAACTGGAGATTCTGATTTCAACAGGCATTGTAGAGGTTTGGTTCTAAGATGGAAGATGAAATTGGATGATACAGGGCAGAAGGCGCAACCTTGATGTGACAGATGATTTTTACAAATTATTGTTTTTTTTTTTTCTTTGCCCCCTCTCAAACTCTAAAGCAGTTTCTTTCTATTTCTGATGCTGGTTAATCACATTAGGACAATGCTTTGCTGCTTCCTAGGTATTGACAATTCTCCTCAGTGGCTGATTGTCAGAGAACCAAGTCAATGAGTATTATAGGTTATTTGTCTCATGGGATATCTAATAATAATTCATCTATGACATTATGATATTACAGTATTATTCAAAAATCATAATTTTAAAACACTTTTGTTTCATAACAAAGAATAAGAAATTACCTACAGAAGAAATTACCATAAGTTGGGAGTGGAGTAACACAGTTCTATCTCTCCACTGTATTTCCTGACACTCTACATACCCTCGGTGTTACCCAATATTTAATATTATAGAAACGGTAAGTTCCTCCAATTATAAATGGTTAAATCCAAAGCTACTATTTTATCTACTCATCACATTTTCCCTCCCATTGTCAATTTCACCATCTCTCCCCCAACAAACTTCAGCCATTAGTTTAATCTGAACCAGATTTACCAGCTCTAACTCAATATCCTTACCATTAGAAAGACCATCCGACTTCCATTTTGGTAAAAATCAGCCAACTTTACTCATTTATCGTGCTACTGCCTTTGAAGCTTGCAAAATTGAATGCACCAATAATCTCCTCTCAGTCTTCATTATCTCTAACCTACCCAAAACCGTGATCTCCATATCCTAAATGACACCACATGCCACTGGCACACATTGAATGTGGATGCTGATATAAACTGGCTTAGTTTCCAATGGCAAAAATTTAACATGTCCATTCTTATATTCAACTATTTTCATGACCTCACACCCTATAACACACTACTGGTACCTGTGATTTCAATTGTATGATCATATTCATTGGAACTCCCTCATTACCACTACCCTCTCCAACTTTATACATAATTTGTTAAGTCAAGTTTTAATTACTCTAACGCACTGAATTTTAACAGGGGCAGGTTGCAATTTTAAACCTCACAAGCTCATCATATTTATGGTCATGCAGGTTTAAATAATCTTCAAAGCAATGAGGAAGCTGTCAGCTTGTTTGAAGCAAGTACTTGGTGGAATTGGCAAGTGCCTTTTTGCCGATCTCCAGAATCCTGTTGCCTGCTTGGGATTCCTCCACGATCAGGCACCTCCATGATGAACATGACTTTGCCCTCAAGACCAGTAATCCACCAAAAAGCCTTGAAGACTCCTCCTCTGACTGACCACCTGCTCCCACTGATCAAACTCTTTGTCCAATTTCAATTGGCCACAAACCTCAGGCTCTCTCATCAACTAATTTCTCAACCAACTATCCCCAAGCTGGTTACATGCCAACTAGCTAGATTAGAGTCATACAGTCACACAATCTTGGGTCCAACTCGTCCACGCCGACCAAGTTTCCCAAACTAAACTAGTCCCACTTGCCTGTGTTTGGTCTATACCCCTCTAAACCTTTCCTATTCATGTACCTATCCAAATGTCTTTTAAATGTTGTAACTGTACTTGCGCCTACCACTTCCTTTGGCAGTTCATTCCACATACGAATGACTTTGTGTGAAGAAGTTGCCCCGCAGGTCCTTTTTAAATCTCTCCTCTTTAAAAATATGCTCACCTCCACCCCAGTTTCGAACTTCCCCCACCCTAGGTTAAAGACCTTTGCTATTTACCTTATCTATGCCTCTCATGAGTTCATACACCTCTAAGGTCACCCCTCAACCTCCTACATTGCAGTGAAAAAAGTCCCAAACCATCCAGCCTCTCCTTAGAACTCAAACCCTCCAGTCTCAGCAACATCCTGGTAAATATTTTCTGAACTCTTTCCAATTTAATAACATCCTTCCTATAGCAGGGCAACCAGAACTACTCCAAAAGTGGTTAGACACTGTACCAACTTCCTGTACAACCTTAATATGATGTCCCAGCTCCTACATGCAATGGTCCGTGCAATGAAGGTAAGCGCTTATTAAAAAAGATCAAGTAGAATGATACACAGGTTTACACTGGCTAGCATAAGGTTATCAAATGGCATTGAGTGATATTTTAGGTTAGCAAAAGACATAGTTGATAACATTCAAAAAGATCTCTGAAATTAAACATTTGTACAATATTCAGACAAGTTAAGGTTGCTATTACATTACAGAACCAACTTACATGTCACTTTAAAAGGTAACAAATATCCTAAAATACTTCACAAAGGTATAAAGAAGAAATGGGTGATGCAGCAACAGAGGTAATATTAGGATTGAACAAATGCTTGGTCAAAGAAGTGTTTTCAGCAGAATTCTAAAGGATAAAAATGAGCTGGAGAAGGGAGGAGGCTTAGGGAATCAAAAAAAAAATGCCAAGTGTGAGTTATTGGTACCTAAGGCATTAACAACTATGATTTGAGAAGGTTGGGATTGGTGTGGTGGAGTAGGGATGTCAGGATCTCACAGCAACAGAATTCAGGGGAGAGAGGCTGTTGACTGTGTGGTGTTACAGAAATAAGGAGAGATAAGATTGTGAAGCAATTTAAACATGAGTATGGAATTTCAAATTTGAAGCACTATAGCACTGGAAACTAATGCAATTCAGTCCAGACATCAGTGATGGATGAGTGTGACGCAGTGTAGAGAAGGAAACAAACACCAGAGTTTTTGAAAATAAGAATTCATATCATTCTTGAGGGCATGTAATTTTGTCAAAAGTAATAAAATAAGTAACACAAAAAAGGAAGTTGCTGGAAAAGCTCAGCAAGTCTGGCAGTATCTGTTAACAGAAAATCAGAGTCAACATTTCAGGTCCGGTGACCGTTCCTCAGATAATTACGTAAGTAATTGGTAAGTCCATATTAAAATGGTTCATCACTTCACTTCAAGGCAATGGATAACTTGGACAAGGTAAATGCGAAAACTGACAAAGATAATTTTGCACAGATGAAAGACATTGAACAAGTTCAAAGTTTTGAAATATAGGCAGGTATGGATACTACAAATGTGAATATGGCATTTAAGTTAAACTATGATTACTGAGTGAAAAAGTATTAGGAATGTACCTAGACATTAGAAGGAAATTATCCAAATGAATTATTATCATATTGAACCACATGCAAGTGATAATTTTAAAAAGCAAAAACAAGTTGAAGGATAGAAGTCTAGTCTTTATTCACTTCAAAAGTTGTTTTTTTTTTTTAAAAACTTACACAGACACATTATAAACATACACCCTCTATCCAACCGACAGTTTCAGAATGCTACTGTACATATATACCTCTAGAACAAACCAAACAGTGAGTCAGGAAAAGGGTTTTCTTTACAGATTGGTGACCTGTAACCAATGAGGTTCCACAGGGATCAGTGCTAGGACCACAACTATTTACAATTCATATTAATGACTTGGAGCAAGGAAACAAATGTGTTGCAGCCAAATTTGCAGGCAGTACAAGAACAAACTGAACGGCAAGTTGCAAGAGGGACAGAAACATTTTACAAAGAGATACTGATTGGGTAAGGAATTGGACAAAAAGTTGGCAAATGGAGTATAGCGTAGAAAAATGTGAATTTGTTCATTTGGAAGGGAAACAATAGAAAGAATGTTATTTAAATGGACAAAAACTGCAGAAAGCTGCCCCACAAGGAGACTTGTGGGGTACTGGTGCACAAAAGACAGAAAGCTAGCACACACGTGTAGCAGGTAAGCAGGAAGGGTCCTGACCCGAAACATCAACTTTCCTACTCCTCTGATGCTGCCTGGCCTGCTGTGTTCCTCCAGCTCCACACTGTGTTGTCTCGGACTCCAGCATGTGCAGTTCTCGCTATCTCCAAGGGTAATGGAATGTTGGCTCTTATTTCAAGGGGGTTGGTGTATAAGAGTATCCTGCAACTGTACAAAATGCTGGTGAGACCACATCTGGAGTACCGTGAGCACTTTTGATTCATTTATTTAAAGGAAAGATGTTTCATTGGAGGCAGTTCAGAGAGGTTCACTAGGATGATCCTCAGTATGGATGGATCGTCTTAGGAGCAAGGGTTGAACAGTGGAATTTAGAAGAATGAGAGGTGATCTCAATGATACATATAAGATTATTAAGGGGCTTGATAGAGTAACTGCTGAGAGGATGATTTTCCTTATGGCAGAGGGAACAGTCTCAGAATTAAGGAGCGCCAATTTAAGATTGAGAGAAGGAAGAATTTCTTCTTTCAGAGGGCTGACAGTCTGGGCAATTCCTTGTCACAGACAGCTGTGGGATCCTTGTGTATATTTAAAGCTGATATAGATAGATTCTTGATCAGGAGGAAAATCAAGGGTTACAGGGAAAGGGTAGGAAGATGGACGTGAGGAATGTCAGATCAGTTATGATCCTATTGAATGGTGGAGCAGGCTCAAATGGGCTGAAAGGCTTCTCTTCTTCCTATTTCATACGGTTGTTGATTGGTTTTAGAATGTCAGTCATGAG